TATTACGTGCTTTATTATCGGTTTATGTGTCTATCCATTAAATAGTCCAAAATCTCGGGTTGTATATTTAAGCATTCTATATTCCGCGATAGTGTGGTTTGTTTATGGCTATCTTTTGTACGGCATGGTGAGCTCTCTTTCATTGGAAGCATTATTTCCTTTTACCATTACGTTAATCATTTTGGAAGTCAACATCATTGCGACAATTACATCTGTGATTTTTACTATATATTACAATAAGGTATAATTAATATGTTTAATTTCTTTACCAATTATATCCTTATATTTACACTAATTATATTATATTGTAATGTTAAAGGAATTATGCATGCCTGATATTTACTTTTACTGCCAATATAACACTTCTCATTGATATTTGAATGATTTTATTGAGCAATAGTTTTTAAGTAATCTATGAACGTATATGTATAAACGTATTTTCTCACAGAAATATAATATATACCATCATAATTTATATTATTTTTCAATATTATTGTAGAGAATTCGAATGTGTATGGAGAGACTTACTGCAGTGGATGATACTTTGAAAGAATTAGGTAGTCCAAAAATGTATCGAAAAATGCACATGTTGTCAAAACGAATAGCAATTGGGTGGACTGTGCTCAGCTTTGCTCTGAATTTTTGCGACACCATGTCATGTCTAATACAGCTGAGAGAAGAAACTACTTCATGGAAATTTATTGTACCTCATATGTATAATTATTGTATTCATACTGGTGCACTTGTAGATTTAGTGTTTATCACTTTCTTATGGTTTGTACTTGTTTGTTTATCAAATTAACGCAACGAATTATATATTCAAAACATTTTCCATTTTTAACATACATTTTACATAATTTTTAAAATAATTAATAAAATGCAATCATCACAGGAATGACAATTTTCAGCATTTGTAAAATTATTTAAAAAATTAATTTCTAATTAATTTAAAAGTATTTAAAAATTAATTGTAAAAAGTGATATATGAGATATATATAGATAATGCCCGATCTACAATAGTTGTAGTAAGCTGTAGTAAGCCTCAAGCCGTAAGAAATTGACCAATTACAGGCGAATGTAAGGAGAATAATCGACTGTGATTGGTCAATTTCTTACATCTTGAGGCTTACTACAGCTTACTACAGCTATTGTAGATCAGGCATTATATATACTATTTTGTAAATTTTAATATATATTGATTATAATTTCATAAATAAAGAATTATATATACAAGTTTTAAAAACTCATTATCCAAAAATGGTGACTAGATCTGTCACAGATGATGCTACAATTCAAAATATTATTTGATAAAATAATATTTATGAGACAGGTACATCGGCACGAGGTTTGATGAAGTAAAAAAGCATATGCAAAATCTATTGGTAAGAAAAGAGCATTGGCTAAGGAATACATGGAAGAAACCTACAATAATTGTTCATCAATGTACCTTGAGTACTAATAATTACAAGCGAGTGTTGTGGAGCTCAATGTAATTCAATACATATGCATATACTTTTGTAGAATATTATTTTAATAATATTTTAGTATAACAAAAAGCAATTAATGATAATTTATAAAAACAATTTCTTTTCGTCATTTTTATGTTTATCAGTAATAAAAATTTGATTTGTCGACAGACATCTTCATTTAGAACTATGTCGCATTGCACGCGAATGGAATCTGGTGTTTGGAATTCAGATGGCTGCCGAAACAGCGTTTTATCCATTATTTGGGACGTCAATGTCCTTCTACATATACAATTTGCTAACGCATAAATATCGAAATGTAATACCAGTGAGCATATGGTTTCGAGTAATTTCCTGGACGTTTGTGTTTGTAGTAAAAGTGTATATTATAAATTACATTTGTGAAAATGTCAGTGTTAAGGTAAAAAA